AAGCTGCACTGCAGTGGCTGCTCCATCTAGCAGCTATATTGGACATGTACAGCAATACATGTTTAAGGCACCAGCCTGAAAAATGATCTAGTTCTTCTGTCACAACAGAATGCTAAATTGTATTTAGCAATAACAGTAAAACTCAATGCTAAGGGTGGCTCCATAGTGTCATTGAACAAGCCTTTAGCCCCACCCAAAAAATCATTGACAAAAAAATGGTGATAAACAGTTCAAAGATCACAATTCAGTAATATGTAGTTCTCAGTCTTTTTACGTGTTTTCAACATGTCTTTCCAAACATGTATAATGCACATTTTGCTTTACCCTGACTTTAAAGAAGTATTTCACTGCTGGAATTTTGGTCTTTTCATAAAACTGAGCTGTCTATACAGGAGACAGATGCAAATACTTTTGACATTGGTGCTACATTTTCTCATAAGAGAAAACAGGGAAAAAAGCCAGTGGCATTTGCATTTGCTCAAGAGGTAGAAAACCTATGAATACCAGAATGCACTGCACCACACCGGATCAATAAACGCCCCTGCTGGTGGATGACACACAGGATCACACAGGAAACTAGATTGCGGCCAGCTGGTAACAAATTATCTCGAATTACAGTTACAGATAAAATGTGTCTGAAAACATTTTAGGTGAAAAATATGCAACGCCTTAGTTTCATATTTGATTAGCACTTTCTAGTTTTATCACTTGATCTCAGTTTTTTCAGTTTACATATAATTTACAAAACAGGAACCAGCATGGCGCCCACTTCCTGTTCACAAATTCTCTTATTACAGCCAAACAGTGCACTAAAATATGTTTCTGAGGACATTTTAGGCAAGAAAAAGGCAATACAATAATAGAATTTAAGTTTATATTTCATTAGCACTGCCTACTTCTAATGTCCATGGTGCTGGGCATATGAAAATGTGGAAGTACTATGTATAGAGCTGGCAAAAATCTTAGCTGAGAGATGAGCAGGGAGATCTGGGTGCTGATGAGATGGAGGGAAGGTTTCCATTTCATTTACATATGCTGCTCACATTGTTATGATACAAAGCTGGTTGAAAATTGGCAAAGTATCCCTTTAAGGATTAAATAAGTTTAAAGGCAAATCTCCCTGGTGACTCTATTCGTCATCTGTTGTGCCATGGTAGTTAACCAGTCAGAGCACAGAGATTTTAAAGGGCACTCTTGTTTTTAATAACCTTCTGGTCCACAACAGGGTGTTGGAACATCACCAAATCCTTATGGTTATGTCATTGTTATATCACATGTAATAAAATAGTTTTTGAATGACCGTTTTGTCTTTTAAAAACATTTGTCATCACCTATAAAATTATGCAATCTCCTGAACCTTAGATACGGCTGCAAGTGGTTCAGCATGTTTGACTTGACGGGCTCTTTATGTGCAATAAAGAGTTGAGAAACTAACAAAGCTTCTCTACTGACAGAAGTTCTGGCTGCTAAATCCCTTGTCAAGCACACATCATGGGACCAGGGAATGGCCTCTCAGATCTGACAGTATAGTGTGACTCTGCTTCAGGCAACTGGCCTGACATGACACCCATTTTTTGGCAAATGTTAGCAGGGTGGTTACTCAGTCTATAAGGTGCTCTGGCACATTGTTTGATAGCACTTTCATCCAGATTATCACACTTTGCTATGCAGTGGTTTTGCTCTGCTGTAGGAACGAAAAACGTCATTAACTGCAAAGAAATCGGTCCAGAATGTATTAAATGTTTCAGTTAAATATGCCACTTAATAATATATACATCTTACAGTTGCCAGATAAAATACTGCCTTTATTACAGTTAAATCTACCTGATACAGTCTCAGCTCTAAAGCATTTTTTATAATGAACAGTTTTCTACATATCTAGTCATGCAAATAGACACGGGCAACCTATTTTACTTTGATGGGTGGGATCAGTAATGACCTCACTCACCCAGCCTGTCATGAATTTGGATTTGGAAGGAGTCACAAATGGTGGACAAGCTGTGGCCTGAGCTGGAGTCACTGCAGGGCTTCTCTGAATAGCAAAAACAACCCAGTCCAGAGAAATTTGCTCTAAAATAGGGTCAAATGCAGTCATGTGCATATCAGTCAAATTGTAAGATAAGTGCTCCCTAAATGAACGCCCGAGGGGTGCATGTGAGTTCCCATCACGCTTCCTGCCAAATCTTGCCGGGGGCTGTAGGTCAACCAGGATGTTTATCAATTAGCATACTTACCTGACAACATTGTGCCTTTACCTTTTCACACACTGAGGAGCTAATTTGACTGTAGTTGCTTAAATATTTGCTCCCAGCAGCGATGCAAGGTCTGACAGCTCAGCTAGGTTAAATGTGTTAAGGTTGCAACGTGACAGGACGTGAACTGTGCTGTGTAAAGACGAATTTAATGTGATCGTAATCATGATTCGGATTTATGTGCAATGTGACAACTAATGATTATTTTTGTTTGCGATTTGTCGTTATTTTGTTTTTAATTGCTGTGTCAGAAAATAGTGAAAAATTCCCATGCCAAGGTGATGTCGCACAGATGTGTTGTTTTACCCCACCAACGGTCCAAAACCAGTGTTTCCCCTATAACTATACAGACCAACAGGAACCCCCGCCAGGCCAAAAAAATATCTTTTTTTAATGCCAAAAATAACACCAAATATCCAGTGTTTCCACATATTCCTTTTGTAGCACTGCTGTGTGCTGCTGAAAGTCTGAGAATGAGGCAAGTGTGATGGGCCTTTAAAGTGACCTTTATAGCACAGAAAAGCACACTCTTCTTCTTTAATCCTGCACTTCCTGCTGCACAGGGTGAGGTCACTAAAGGGCATTCATGTGAGGTGAAGCCCACACCTCCCTAATTTCCCTAACTTTTCCCTGTCTCCACTTCCATCATTTTTAAATTGCTGCTTGTCACTCAGCTATTCTCACGATATATCACTGCTTGTCTCCTCTCTGCCTGATAAGCTCGTCATGCATATAAAAGTCTCCTCGTCCCTATAAAACCAGGTATTTTGGCTTGTTCTGAAAGCCGAGCTCATAGCTGCTGTCTTAGGTTGTTTGTGAGCTCTTTAAACTTGCAGTGTCTAAATACCTCACCAGCGCATGAGGAAACTCAGAAGGTCCTGAGCTGCTGTTTGTGGGGTGTGGCGCAGATAAATCTGTCATGGGCTCAGATATAGAAACTTGGCTGTAAATCAACCTCGCACTGATACAGGAGTGGATGTGTAACCCCACTTTTCTAGTTTCGTAAATGAATTCCTTTCTCCCGCCTGCTTTTGTTTTTTGCTTCTCCAGGGCCTCATTTATAGTGAAACTGTCCTCTTTAAGATTTTGTAGACCACCCCTGCTTCTAGTGTAGGACGAGTCCCTCAAACAAAGTTTAACAGATAGGGTGCAGACAGAAGAGTAACTGGCATGAACTTGAGTGTACGTTTGTTCCATTTGTGAGCTGTCACGTGACATCTCACCTTGTTTCTCTGTTCGTTTGTTGCTTTTACTTGAAATACATGCTCTCTTTTTCAATTTATCGAAAAGCTTTGACTTTAATTTGCCTATTAAAGTGTCCAATGCAGAATGGTGTGGAGCAAATGTCACAAGTGAGAGTGTTGTGTCCTCGAAATACATGTGGTCATACGTATTAAAAATGTATGCAGTCATGGCACTTCCAGAGTTTAAAGAAAATAGTCTAGATCAGACTTCACAAAGTGCTTCATGATGAAAGACCAAAGACATAGGATCAAGACATAAAATACAGACATTATATGACTAAGAAAAACAACAGAGATAAAAACAATTGAATCAAACTAGAAAAGGCTGAACTCTCTGGAGAAAACTTCCACGTGCTTGCTTCTGCAGTTGACCTGTTGAATGAAGTGTCATTTGAAAGCAAAGTGCAGAAAGGAGTTGAAATGTCAGCTCAAGTGCAGCCCTTAAGGCTCAGACACACCAAACCGACATCTGGTGTCGATGGAGGCCTGTGTCTTGTCTGAAATGTTGCACTCCAGCACACCTTTAAGACCTCAAACCATTTCTGCTAAAATGCTCAATAGCTAAAAACTAATCCTAAATAGTTAGTTTCAATCTGACGCTCTCTTGACTTAAGCTGTTTGTTTGCTTTCCTCACTACTGTTTCTCTTCTCGTGCACTGAGCTGGACTTCCAATCAGAGTAATAAAAAAATACCCATAGTCTAATATTATAGAAACATTTCCACTTAAGTTAAGCTTATTAGACTATTTTTAAACTCAGACATCCGGGACTGAGATTTGTGGTCAGGTTATATCATTAAATCCTGTGCTAGCAATTACCTGAATGCTGATGAATATTTGATGCAGTTTGAAATTTTATCTCCCCTGTTTGGAGTTCACTTTCTACCCTAAGCAGTCTGAGTAGTTGTAGCGTTCTCGTATGAATGCATAAACATTAATTGCTAATGGGATGCGACTTAGTTAACTTCCTGTCTAAATCATCCCTGATCAGTGGTGACAAACACTCTGAATTATTTTTGTTTAAAACATTTTTATCCTGATACATTTGAAGAGACTGCCAGAAATAATCCTCTTAACCACGGATGACTTGTGCAGATGTTACTGTCACAGCTTATAGCAGACCTGTTATTGAAACCAGATGTTGGTTTAGCACTGAGATGTTTAAGTTAAGGTTATTATTTGATACAGGATGGATGTGGAGTGATTGGCTGTGATGCAACGCGTCAGTGACGTTATGCAACAAGGTTTTAGACCTGGAAAAATATGCCCATAATGCGCTTGGTGTTGCTTCATCATGTCATTTCAACAAAGAGTTTGGCAATCTGGATTGAATCATCATTTCCTCCAACCTCCTAGTGTGGTTCAGGATCCTCCTCTGCTCTCATTCACAATCTCTTTCCCCGTCGAAGCACCTCTCTCTCTCTCTTTCTCCCTCCCAGCGTACACGTTTCCCTTCCTTTACTCATGTTTCTCTTGTCTCTGTTTCCTCCCCCATTAAAATGCAGGAACCCATCCACTGCTTTCTACCAGGCTTTCCGGCCTAGCAGATTACGGGGGTCAAAGCCTGTCAACGATAGGTATGAGCTCGGGTTTGTTTACATGTGTGTGTGTGGCCTGGACTGGCTGACTAAACCAGACCCTGCACCCCTTTAACTCTGCTCACCTTGCAAGAAAATGTCCATTTTGACTTGTTGATAGAGTCTTGAAGTGTTTTTAGCAAGGTCAAGTCAATTTCCAGAGTTTTGACTGTGTGCGATTTTTGTTTTAAGCAAATTATACTTTGATTGGACTTGTTTTGTTTGCACGTTACCCTTGTATGTTATTTAGGTTCCCACCTGACCGCAGCTGCATCAAGTCTTTAGACCAACAGTATAATTTTTACCCTTCAATGTAAAGAAAATGTATAAAAGCAAAATTATAGTTTGCTTACATTAGTTCTTGGGTTTAAGATTTCCTGTCGTGATGGACGAGCCCAGGTTCAAGAACCACTAACTCCAAAATGATTTCATGAGACTCGGTTTAAGTGGAGAGATTCAGTACGAAAGTTATTTAAACAGCAAGCAAGTAAACAGCTTCATTTCAGATAGAGAGACAAAACAAAGAATAAGTGCCTCATTATATTTAAAATGCTGAGTCATACACACTTCTGCTGTCTGGGTTAAAACGCCAGAGGAAAAAACTCACTGTACTGAAAAATAGTCACATGAAGATTGTATGTATTGTCAAGAACATTCTGCTATCAGCGGCTTCGTCGCTGCAGCACTGCAAGTACTGGACTAAATAAATGACTTGTTAAGGTGGACATTTGAGCAGCCGCAAGTGTGTAACGCATGAAGAAGGCATGGCACTGTAGGAAGCGTCTGGATGCATTTTATGACACTTTCTCTGACACATTGAGCGTCTACCTTCTGTCGGGTCACAAGGATCTTGTGCTCAGGTTTCTCTTGCCCCTCCGACATGTGCAGCGCAGTGCCAGGGGGTTTCAGCACTGCAAATAGCATATCACAGTGAGGTAACATGACAGAGGTTGTGCTGTGTTACATCATATTCTCCGAAGTCTGTTTTGTATTCTCAGATGAGAAGCTGGTGATGACTGACTTGGAGTCATTGACTCAGGGAAGTAGAAAACTTTATACATGGAGAAATGATTAGTAAAATAATGGATAAGGTCTTTAACAGAAAATTAATTTGTGACAATTGTAGTAATTTTTCAAGCCAACTAGCTTGCACAAGTGAGTTAAGCGTGGCTTTAGTAGATTACAGTTGGCTTTTTTAATGTTTTTATAGACTTGAGAGATAATCGAGAAAAAAATAGTTTGATTTCTCCGTAATAAAAATAGTTTTTTTAGTGTAAATTTACCCTATAAATTAAAGGTGCCATCCAGACAGGGGCTGACATTCACTGCTACACAATGATAACAATACCGAGAAAATACTGCTGCAAAATTAAATTTCATTTGATAGCCAACATTAATCAGTGTCTCCAGGGAAACCGTCTTTATCACTGCATGGACTTCAGAGATCAGAAGCCAATCTGACAACTATAAAAAATGAATCACTTTATGACTTCTGGGTCATAAAAGTTTCGACATTGGCCAAAAATTGAACCAAAAAAAAAAAGGATTTTTACATGTAATTTAATGGGTGTAACTCAGTTTTGGATAACTGGCATTGTTAAATTCTTTGTTTCCTTCTTTAAATCCACTATTAGTCTTTGTGTTCTCTCTTTAATGGCTACCTGCATATGTATGAAGTATCTGTAGGCAACTGGACAATATTATGGTATTAGAAGGGCTCTGGTTTCTGTTTGTAGTCTGAGTAGCACCGACCAATCACGTTTGAGAGGGCTTTTGGTTGCCAGCAGGTATAGACTAATCTCTGCCCTACTGTGAAGATGACGTTTGTATTTTTTTACTATTAAAAACAGGTAAAATCTTCATTGTGCCCCTCTGTTGCTCTCTCTGTTGCACTCATAGTGAGAGGGCTAATTGTTAGCATCACACAGCTAACGTTGCCTCACATTTATTAACAGGTTTAACGACAGAGTTGAGCTGTTTTGGTGTCGGTGTTAGTTTGTTGGGACCAATAAATGGCTCTGTGTCAGATGTTAGCTGCTGCTGTTGTGTTGCCTCATGCTAACCAAGCAGATGTTGTATTGAGTGGAAGGACAGCGGCTCTGGACTCCGGAGACGGTCCATCAGTGCTGCATCTACCTTGTGTAACGGCAGCATCAGAAAATTTGCTGATTTTACTTTTGCTAAATTTGAATTCATGATTTAATCAGCTAATTGAAGCCAGGTTGTTCAAGAAATGAATTGCAAATTGCACTTTGTTCAGTTGTTGGCCAATTTACATCCCTATTCTTCTGATTTTTTTTTTTTTGGTGAGTACTCCAGTACTCCATAATAATTTAATGCAAGTACTCGAATATTGAAGTTACTTAAAATGCCCATCCCTATGAAGAGTGAAAGAGGAATCTCTGAACCCATTAGCTGTTGTCTGACCACGATTTAGCTTTTTATTGTCTTTTTATGAGCTTTTTACAAGTTAATCTACATTCATATGCAAATATCTGTCTTCAGAGATCAGCTGAAATGTTGTCTGGGCCTGTCTCTAGTTGCTAATGGATCTGTAAACAGTCATCAGCACATGGAAGAGGAGGTCTTGGCCCAGATATCTGCTGGCTACGCCTTAACCCTGGCTGTTACCCCGAGAGGCTGTATCATCATTAGACCAATAGCTGATGGGTTCCAATACTGGTCTTTGTGGGCTTCACATTTTTTGTTATCAAACAGAGTGCACTGATATTTGGACATGTCTGAGGTTTGTTTATGATTCAGAACACACTGTGTGGTTTTGGAGCAAAGGAGCGCTTCTTAATCTCACAGCAGTCAAACTGAGTTATCAGTGGATTATTAATTATTCTCAGACATGTGAGCACCTGTCAAGTAACGTCAGCACTATAGGCAAATGAATACCTGTTGGTTTTGATTTGGGAGTAAATATGTCCGTGGTTTGCATTAGTCACGACCACTTTTTGTTCCCATGTGCCGTCTCCTGGAGACCGTTTGAGTTCTTGACTCTCTGCCATCGATATTTAATTGACTGCCAACAAACAGTGGCAAACAAACTTTGCAGTTAAGGTGGCAGCATATTTATGTTGAACATGTGGTTGTCTTGTCAGGTCATGAAATTGAAATATGATGATGGCTGATCAAAAAACTCCGGAGGCATCACTTCCCAGTTTGGATCCAAGGATGCCAAGATTCTTTGTGTCATATCAGAAAAATGAGTCAATTTTTATGCTTACATAATAGGACAAATTTTGGCCTAATGGGATGTGTGTGATATCCGTTTTAGTTTAAGGATTCACTCAATAAATTCTTCTAAGTCTTTCAGCAATTAACAAATACCTCTTCAACCCGTGGTTGCTCCTGGGTCAAAAACTGGCAGCTCACCCTAAATGAATCCCATGATCAAATTTTATATTTGGCAGTGCTTGAAATAAAAAACGCTGCTCTAAGGAAGCTGATGCTAATGTATGTTCAATTTGTTTGTGCCACTGTGGTTGATATTGAGGGAAGCAGTTCCGTTTTTTCGTTTTACATAGCACCCAATAATGTAATCATTTTCTGAAAATGTAATAACACCAAAATATGTAATACAGTTTGTGCTTAATCTGATCAAAAATGTAATAAAACCCAATGATGTCAAAACTTAATGTAATAAAATGCCCTGACTGATATTGTAATAACATTACAAAAGTATTTTAGTGTAACTAAAGTGAAGTCACATATCTAACCCTAACACAAAGTGCATATTAAAGCTGCATTGGTGTAACGACAAGTCACTGTTAAAATATCTCTAGTTAATAGTTAAATCTGAAATAGATACATAAGAACAGAAAAACCAAACTCCCCTCTACCTTCTTCCCACTTATTGTTACCCTCCCAAAACTATTCAGGAAGTCCTGTTGTGCTGTAAGATATTTCTAATGTTTATCTTTGGGTGTGTAAACTCCCCTCTGACCATGCAGAAATTTCACAAGATCGAGCACTAGCTGCAGTCACATGGACAATATTTTCAAAACCTTTGATTTCCGCAATAGGTCGCACTCACTGTGAAGTGTCTAATCTGCTGGAAATATGACGGAAGAAGAAAAGTTTTTTTTTTTCTGAGTTCATTGAGAAAATTCAATTCATTGAATAGTGTAGAAGAAGAAGCTGTTCTGCCTGCTAATACAATAATGTAGTAAGTTATATAAGGTTATTTTCTGTAGCAACAAATTACAGATGTCCCATAAACACCTCACATGCAGACTACATGAGGCTGCTGTTTCAAAATCAAAGAATACATTTATTGATCAGATCACTCACAAAAAATGTAGCACTAAAGCACTATTTAAAAAAAAAAGAACAATTTTCTTCGATGCTCGTAGAAACAGCTGCTGTGCTGTGTCATGTTTGGTGCATGTACCTGCTACGTCACCTAATGTTTTGTTACGTGTAATGTGATAGGGATTTTAGTTTAATGCATCTTTGCCTGATACCCCCTGCCATCTGTTGTAAATTTCGAATTCTACATAAAGCATAGATTTTACATTTCCAAACATGCAATCAGTGTCAAATGTTGGTGTTTTCAGTGGGCTAACATGACACACAGCAGTATTATACGTTTGGTATACTTATACACGTTAGATTTGTGAGGGAAAAATAAAGCAAAACCTTTTTTACATAATTACATTAACCGTCAGAGTTACTACACCATCAGTTTTTTTTTTTTTTATAGAAAAAATGGACTGACCTGAAACGTGATATCTGTAAAAATCAATATATTACAATGAGTCAAGACATTTTATGTAATAACATTTTCAGGCGTTATTACAGTTAGGAAATTGTGACATTATTGCTTTGTACATTTCCATTGTTGTTTCCCAGTTGTGATCAAAGAGCAATTAATCCTGTCTTATTTGATTTAATTAACGTAGATCACTGCATGATAAAATACATAAACATCCTCGTTTATCTACACTCCCATGGCCTGTTACAGCTGTTGGCAACCAAACAAAGAAGATTAT